ACCGGTAGGTGCTTATGCTATGTGCACTGTTAAATATTTTGAATATCATCCTTGCAAAGAATCTCTTTCCTTCAAAACAATTATCACAATTTGCATATACATATATAGATAAATATATATATATATACACACAGAAGTACATATATATGAAAGACCTGTTTCCTCTCTATACTATATATTCCATAAATATAGAGATATGTGTGTTTTGTTCATCACTATATGCCTAATGTGTAATATAATAGTTGACACAGTTGGTGTACAGAACAATGAATATTTGTTGAAAGAATAAGTGAAATTTTTTAAAAACTTGTGGAAGAATTAGATTGGAGGTGTAGTAACCAGTCTAGGTTCTGATAGGATTGGAAATATACCGTTGGGCATGAGGGAGGGTAGGATGAGTGGATACGGGAAGACTGGTTACAGGGTTGTTCACTCTCTCACCCACTTGAGCTGCTGGAATTGATAAAGAGGTCACAGGTGCCAAAGGAAACTTTCTTCTTTATTCTATGCTATCTTACTCTTCTCTGGCTGGCTTGGTTTTCACCATGGGGCTGATTCTGTGGCTTCTCTACATGTAAGGGGACACACATGGCTTGAATCCATTGGGAACCTGGGGCTAGGAGGTCAGATTGTTGCTGTAGGTCTTCAGGTGATGTCTCCACCCTTTAAGTCTGGTTTCCTTATTTGACTTTATATCTGGGACCCCTAAATCCTGATTCATTTCCTTCTTTGCTTCAGAGACTTGGGTCCTCATTCTTTTTAATTTATTCCCTAACTTTCAACTCTGTGCTGAGTTTAAATGGAGGTATTTTCTCTTCTCACTGGCTGTTGGGCAGTGGCCTCAATTGTTAACCACCTGGGTCCCTCCTCATGACATGGCAGCTGGTTCCCCACAGCCAGTGATCCAAGAGAGAGTTGAAAACATACCGTAAGTCACAGTGTCTTTTATGGTTTAGCATCAGATGTGACATATCATCACTTCTGCCATAATCTATTAGTCACACAGACCAATGCTGATTCAGTGTGGAAGAAGACTACACAAGGATGTGAATACCAGGAGGGAGGGATCATTAGGGGCCATCTCAGAGACTGGCTTCCACAGATGGGTTAGAGAAATTTGGAGAAGGAATAACAAATTTTAGGATTTGAAGAAGGGAAATGGAGGAGACATTAACCAAATAAATGCCTATTACGGGCGCAGCCCTTTATATCAAGTTATTAATCTTTTCTGCAACACTGAGGGGTAAATCTTACCCTTATTTTCATATAAAGGAATTGAAACATGAAGAAAATACGTGTCTAAAATTAAATCCAGTAAGTAGCAGAGTCAAGATTTGTTGCATTGTTATGTGTGTCACTTCAGTCACATTTAGTATGTCCCAAAGGGAGGGATATATGCTACTGATGGTAAGAGAAACAGTTTTAGTTAGCGTAGGGTACCAATTCAACCAGTGCTCCACAAGAGTTTTTTTAAAATATGCAATACCTGACTATTTAGTCAGGGGCACTGACCTCTTTTCCCTTAGGTTGTCAAATAAAAAAATGACAACAACCAACATAACAATAGCTGTCTGGTGTGAATGAGTCAAAATTATACCTATTTTTTGTCAGATTGGCAAAAAATAGATTTTTGGTATACCACAGAATTTTAGTAATTAATTTATATGTGCCATGAGATGAAAAGGTTAAATATCACTGATATAGAGACATAGCACTGAATGACATTGAAAGTATAAAAATCAAATGCTTTTCAATCTCCTGATGAGGTCAAGAGAAAGCTTCAGTTTGGAGGACTTATGCCTTATTACTTCTCTAACAGTTGTTAGTTTCCCTTTTTAAGAAAGAGAGGGAAGGCCCAAAGTTCAGCATCTTCAACAATGATATATTTTTTTTTGCTAGAATTTAATAATATTTCATTTGGTAAATGTTTCATTTTTATTGTATTTATTTTTATAGTTACCTTCTGTTTGTGGGCAAGTGATACTGATTTTAAACATACTAAAAGAATGTGAGGTTTGAGTTATATACTTATTTAAGACTGCTACAAAAAATTGAATAGACAGTAGTTCAAATGATACTTGCATATGGCAAATATTTTGAGGATGGCACTGACTGAGATTAATTGCCTTCTCATTAGTTCTTTGTTCAGGAGGAAGCAAATTTGAAGTTCCAGCCTCAAGTGGGTTCTGCTATGGGAACTAATTGTAGAGAATTGCAAGTTAAAATTCACAACCAATTCTTTCCTGTGATGTTTCCTAAACATTTCTCCTTTAATGAATTCCTCAGGGCTGGTGGGGGAGTTTTGTAGATAGATTTAATGGAGCTAAGTATGAGAATGAGTGTAATGGGAAACTTATTCAATTGCCTATTAAAAACCAGGTGTGGCTGGTGCAGACAGTACAGAGGGGAAAAGGACATATGTGCATTTCCCCATGTCTTAGTCCAGGATCCAACATCAGTCTGGTTTTGCGGGTCCTCCAGTACTTCCAAGCCATTGTATCCTCACACCTAAAGTGTCTGTGGTGGAATGCACAGGACCAAAGTTTTAGGACATAAGGGACGTGGCTGCGAATTTCTATATTAGAGGGGTTTGGGTTGGGGGACAACGTGGTTGGAAGGGGGTTTCTGAAGTTGCGTTTGTGTATGACTTTACACACGTGGACACCTTAAGTGTCTAAAAAGGTGGTGTGGTATTTTAAGTAACAGGGCCAACTTTAGTCACAAGTCCTGATAAAAGAGAATCGCCTAGGCCATTTCTGAGCGCCCTCCACTCCGCCCTCCTGTAGTCCCTCTGGGTTACTTTGTCACTATCCCAAACCAAACTCGCATGAGGTCACTCTTCCAGGTCACGTGCTCAGGCTCGCGGAAGCGCCACATAGCCAGCCGCGCCCCTCCACCCCCGCCCTGCCACGTGACCCGGTCTACTTTTTCCCCCCTCCCTACTCAAAGCTTTGCTCGGGAAGCCCCGCCCCACCCGGCGCGCAGGGCTTGAGAACCTCCGCCCATCATCTGCCCAGGCTGAAGCGTGGCCGACCACCCCACGTGTTCCTTTCTGCCCAATGGGAGCAGGGGCCGTGCGCGAAAGGGCGGGGAAGAAAGAACGACTTCGTTTACGCTTCGAGAAAGGGGCGGAGCCCGTAACGTCGGAGTGAACGAGGGGACGCAACGGAGGCAGGCCGGAGCCGCTGCCGTCGCCATGACCCGTGAGCACTGAGACTTCTCTCCTCTTGCTCTCTTTCCTCTGTCCACCCTAGACAGGACTGCCTAATCCTGGGATTGACTTCCTTTTGGCCTCCTCAGCGAGCTCTTTTTCTGGGAGCGCTCTTTAGCGACCCTCACACTCGAAGCCCGGAAATCGGCCCTTTGCCCACTACCACTTCTTGAGAAACACTGGTCCCCCCACCCCACCGGTCAGGCAAAGGGCCACCCCGACCTTTCATGATGGAGGGAGAAGCCTACATCTGGGTGAAAGGCCCAGTGCCCCCCACTCCCATTTTTGGCCCATCCCCCACAGACCCAAACCGTTCATACACACCACCACCTGTCTGGGCCCCACGCCTCCCCGAAACAAGAAACACGCCTCTAGCAAGCTCCTGGGGACCGCCTTTCCTCCACTCTATTTTCTCTGCTCCGTGGCAGGCAGCTCGGCCCTCTCAACCCCCGCCCCTCCCCCTCCCCCATCAGCCTAAGCCCCGAAATGGGCTGGTGTCAGGACTCACACCTTAACTGGTGTCCGGGTGAGGTTAGGGGGTCATCGGTGTGTAGCCAGAAAGGCCCCCGCGTCTCACCTTTTGCTTGCTTTCTTTAGGTGGTAACCAGCGCGAGCTCGCCCGCCAGAAGAATATGAAAAAGCAGAGCGACTCGGTTAAGGGAAAGCGCCGAGATGATGGGCTTTCTGCTGCCGCCCGCAAGCAGAGGTAGACCCTGGGCTGGGAGGGAAAGAGAGGGGTGAGACTTGGGTTAGACCATGGGTTGTACCGAAAAGAGAGCTACCTCAGGGCTTATATCTGAACTACTCGTGAGGGGCAGCGTGTTTTGCTTCCTCTAGGGTTTTATTTCCTCCCCATGCTAGAAATCGTTAGCTCACTGCTTTACAGGAAGGGACTGGGGCGGGTGCCTGCTCTAGGTCTGATTCCTGAGTGCCCCTGTTGTCTGACCTTAAGGGCAAGGGCAGGGAGCTTCACGTTTCAAATGCATTAGTGGTTATGACAGCCCTGTACTTTTTCCCTGTCCTTGCTGTTCATTTCTCTTCCCTTCTCCCAACCTTTTCACTCGTGTTGCTGGGTGTAGTACTCAGCACAGACTAGCAGTGTGTGGCCAAACTTCTGACCCCTCGGCCAATAGCCAGGTAGAGACTGGCTGCCTTTTTTGAGCTTCAGCTCTCTTCCTTTTATTCTCCTAGGGTGGGAATACAGCAGCCACACGCTGAATTTTGTCCCATCCACTTCCATCTTATCCTTTGTGCCCTTTACCCCCGTGCATCTTGTCCCCTTTGCCCTCTGGTACCTCCCAGTGCCCCATCATCTCTACCCCCAGGGACTCGGAGATCATGCAGCAGAAGCAGAAAAAGGCAAACGAGAAGAAGGAGGAACCCAAGTAGCTTTGTGGCTTCGTGTCCAACCCTCTTGCCCTTCGCCTGTGTGCCTGGAGCCAGTCCCACCATGCTCGCGTTTCCTCCTGTAGTGCTCACAGGTCCCAGCACCGATGGCATTCCCATTGCCCTGAGTCTGCAGCGGGTCCCTTTTGTGCTTCCTTCCCCTCAGGTAGCCTCTCTCCTCCTGGGCCACTCCTGGGGGTGAGGAGGTTACCCCTTCCCAGTGTTTTTTATTCCTGTGGGGCTCACCCCAAAGTATTAAAAGTAGCTTTGTAATTCCTTGAGCGCCTGGTTTGACTGGGGATTTGGGGTGGGGTGGGGATGGAGGAATGGCTGCCCTTTCCCAGGAATAGGGGAGAGAACTTTAAATTTTTAAAGGTTGTGGATATGTAGCCTAAATGAAATATCAGAGAAAAGTTCTTTATTATTACTATAACAAACATTCAAGCACTCTGGGAATGTGGTAGAAGACTCTTCTAAGAGCCATAGGGACTTCTTTTCTGTAATTTTTGTCCACTACTTAGACCTTAAACACCATCCCAGGGATGGAGTTGAGGGCCTAAGGAGGAAGGCTCCAAGACCCAAGTTTATGCCCTTCTTCCTTATTCTTTCTCAGTTTGTTTGCCTGCTTGAAAGCGGGCCCCAAAAGCCTGCTGCTCACTGACTTCTTACAGTCAGCTGCTTTCAAGTGTTCACATTGTCTTCTTTCATTCCTCATGAAGTGAGGGTGGTTTTTGTCTTCCCACTACTTTGACCTTAAGATCAGGATTAAAACCTAGGGTAGTGTCTGTTCTTTTCTTCCTGTGTCTGGGTTTGTTCTGGGCTTCTTATATCCCTGTGCCCAGGGCTGAATTGCTTGTTTCTTTTTATCTCCAAGGGCAGAGCCAAATGAGTCTTCAGTCCCTCTTGGTTTTTCCCCTGCCCTCATCTCCACCATGAGAGCCAGGAAAGGGCTGGTATCACACTATCTGCTGGGGTCAGCAGTGGTTCCCTGAGTTGCTAGCTTGGGAGTCAGGCTCTTCAGTTAGGGTGAAGATATAATGGTAGCTCTAGTGAGTCAGATACTTGCCCAGGGCATTAGGGTATATATAACCACTTTTTCCAATTCAGACTAATATTGACTTCAGCCTAAACAAGGTAACTGCCCATTATGTCCTTGAGGTATTTGCTGGGCTGTACAGTTCCCCTGAACCAAGACTAGGAGCATAGCCTCAAAGGAACCAGCTTTGTTAAAAGTATCTAAACTGGATGTTTACTATCTGGCAACACTAATACGATGGCAGTGTCGCATAAAGATAGGCGGCGGCTTGGGGTCCTGGGTGGGGGGCCAACAGAGTGGTGCCAGTAGCAGCCCCACATAGAGGAGTGCACAGGCCCAGCATGAGGCAGTCTTGACCCAGAAGGTAGCCCAGCTCCCCTTGGTGAAGGTCTTTTCCAGTTCTGCTCCCTCATAGCTGTGAAACCAAAGTCTGTGGTTAGAAAATATGCATCTAGACCTGTCCTACCTTCCCACCAGATTATGGCAGACGCATGTGTGTCTCCTGGAAACCTTTGGGAGTGGCCTTGGCTTGCTCTTTGCCTCAAGTAGCTAGGATTTCAGGAGAGTATCCCAGGCTACCTCCATCCTACCTGAACCAGTTAGTAAGGGTAACCATGACATAGAGGGATGCAAGGAAGAAGACGAAGTGAAAGGCAGAGTAGCTGTAGGAAAGGTGCTGGGCTTGCACTGGAGGAACTGGAGAGGTCTCTTGGTCATCTGGCCTGGCAGCTCCTTCCCCTTGCCCTGAAGAGAGGGAGGGGCTGCTGAAATACCTCTTCCCTCCCGCTGCATGCCCCCCCCCCCCCCCCCGCATTTGTGAAGGCACTGAAGGGCTCTTTGGCACTGCAGAAATCTACACTTTCTTATGGATCCTTACTTGACACTCACCTTCCTTTGCCTCCACTGTTTCAGGACAACAGAAACAGAGTGAGGGCTTCTGTAAAACAAAAGGCAGCATGTTTTGGAATGAGTTTGAAAAGAATGTGAAGGTTTTAATAGAAAATTCCCTTCTTTGAAAAGTTAATTTGGTGTAAGAAGTAGAGGCACACCTGGGTTCAAATGTTAGCTCCAGCATATAACTGGCTATGGGAATTTTGGTAAGATGTTTAATCTGTGCCTCAATTTCTCCATTTGTAAAGTGGAGCAAATACCTACCTCACAGGGTTGTTGTGAGGATTACATTAAATGAGATTATGTATGTAAAGTAGCACAGTGCCTAGCACATTTTGGGTACTCAATAAAAGGTAATAGCAGCTAGAATCTGAGCTTTCTGGGTAGAGATTGGTAGGGGGTGTGTGTGTGTGTCTGTATGTGAGGAGGGAGGGGAATTGGGGATACTGAGCTTTCCATTCTCACCTGGAACTCATAGCTGTAAACCTTGATGATCCACAAGGGCCCAAATACCTCAGCCAGGTAGGAAGCCTCATTGCTGAGAAAAAACAGTTCTCAGGCAGGTTCAGTCAAACAGCAGGAGGGACTGCCTTAGGGCATCTACTGCCAGCTGGTCCATATAGGTAACTCAGGAGAGTATTGTGATCCCAGAACCCCTTTCCCCCCAAAAGATTTAGAAATCTTCATATGAAGGGCCCTATGATACTTACGTATTTTCATTCTCAAATTATTCCCCTTGGCCCTCTTCACTTACAAATCATCTGACAAGTGCTATGCTTAGAAACTGTTTCTGTTAATGGGGAGCTTTCCTTTTACCTTGCTTTAAAGTTTAAATAAACATGGCCCCAGACAGTCTGACCATCCTTCCATGTCCTTCTCTCATACCTGTTCCCTTAACACTTTTACGCACCAAGCAAAAAGCACACAAGCATACATGATGCCAGCACTCAACACTGCCAGGGAAGTATCTGGTGTTTGAGGTTCCGTTATACTTGTGCCAGGCAGGCATAGAGTATGATTCTCTCCTTGAAGGATTACTGAGAAAGGATAAGAGAAGAGAAAGGTGGTGAGAACAAGCTAGGTATTTGGTAGGAAGAGAAAAAATGTTTTAGCATGGGGAGTCCAGGTCCTGTTCTTACCACTCTCTGGAGGTCGGCTGGACAGTGCAGAGAAGGTCAGGTACATGATGTAACAGCTGATGATAGAGGCTTGTAGAAGGCCAGAGCCCAGTTGCTCTGGTAAGAATGTGGATCATTGCTTTTGTCTACGGGTAGTAATTTCCTCCACTCTTACCCCCACCCACACTTGTCTCCTCATCCTTGGGGAGGGGGGGGAGCAGAGAACTAAGATTAGGGAAACTAATGAAATTTGCTGTACTAAAGTCCCCAAAATCTGGGATGTTGTAAGGCAAGGAAGGCATCTGGGATGATACCCACTGAGGCGGATGCAAGGAGCAATGGAGAGGAAGGAGAGGAGGCCACAGAAACAAAGGTGCAGACTAAGCAGTATCTTGTTGAGCAGGCAGCCAGCTGGGTGCGTGTAGTAGTGGAACAGGAACACAGCTGCCATGCCTGCCATGCTGTAGAATCCTAGGGTGGCCAGCAGCATGGCTAGGAACCAGCGGCAGTCTTGGGATGCACCTGTTTGCCTAAGGGTGGGTGGGAGGTGGGCAATGGCTTGGGGCTCCAACATTTTTCTGTTTACCCTCTCCCAACTATTCCTCCCAGAAGACTGGTTATGACTACCCATCTCACCTGGTCCACAGAGTTACCAGATTCCTGAGCTTTTTTGATATTGCTCAGTGGGAATTTAGGAAACCACTGTCCCAAGCCCACTGGGTCTACTAATGTCAGACAGTATTCCCAGGAAGAGCCTTTAGGGTTATGTGCTCCTTACCAGTTCTTATTCCAGGAATGGGCAAACGCTGTGATAAGCACCAGCTGCAGCAGGATGAATGTAAAGCCTCCACAAATGCCAATGTAATGCCAAGCTGCAAGTGGGGCACCGGTGGGAAAATGTAGCTCATCATATCGTTACTCCTGGTTCTATTTCTACCTTCTCTTTTTCTTTTATTATTTTTAAATTCTCAACCAAGGATATGTTCTATTGATTTTTAGAGAGGGCAGGGGGAGAGAAACATAGATCAGTTGCCTTTGGTACATGCCCTAACAGGATTGAACCTGCAGCCCTTTGGTGTATGGGATGATGCTCCAACTGAGCCACTTGGCCAGGGCTACCCTCTATTTTTCTTAGAAAAATCTTTTAGCCTATTGTTCAGGATGTGAGATGGAAGGTACCTGGGAAGAGATGCTCGTCAGGGATGCAGAAGGTAACAGCACAGATACCTAGCAGGAACAGTAGCTTGAGGAGCCAGAAGCTGGTTAGCAGGGAAAGAAAACCAGTCTCAGAAGAAAGGGCAAAGGAGAGTGAAAAGTCCTTAATGGAGGAAAGCAAAGGAAAAAGCAAAACTATAGGAGAGGGAGAGAAGAAACAACTAAGCATAGGAAAGGAGGAACCAGTTTCCTCCTTTCCTATGCTTAGAGATAGGGAGAGGGGCTAGAAACAGGCCCCTCACAGCTTATTCCAAATTATAACTCCCAGATACCTAAATAACACCGGGACAGCATTTTACCCTTGATACAGGATGACCGTTTGCACTGTTGACATGGGGTTTGCCCCTAACTCCACTGTTACCTCCATTTTAGAAAGTAGTTCAAAGAGGATAAATGTGTGGCTTATGGTCACACAGCAAGTACATCAGAAGCAGGGACTTAAACCTGTTGTCTGTCTTTACAGTGCTATTATTTCATCTTGCGATTTCCTTTATGGTTATGTCTACTTCCCTCCCCACCCAAAGAGTACACACACCTATTATGCAGGTGTGCCCGCAGGCTGGTAGGGGAGTGGAGGTGGACCAGCAGCACAGCCTGCAGCAGGTGGAAGGTGGCAGTTCCTGCACAAACTCGGTACACAGCCCCAGAGCCACTGAGCACTGGGCAGTGAGAGTGGCCAAACAGATGGGCACACAACTCTGAAGGCATCTGGATCTGGAAGGGAGGGCAAGTTATGCATAGAGAGGTACCTGCTTCTCATGGGTATTATTCACTCATTTGTTCCTGTCCCCAATCTGTATGTCTAGTCAGTGCAACCTGATCCCCTCACACTTACCCCATGTGTTTTACCCCATACCCTCTCCATTACAGTTCTTGACAACAGGAGACAGCAGACTACTGAGGCCCCTGCATGGAGGAGGATGTAGAACAGGCGGCTATAAGTGGACTCTGTGAGATAAGGCCACCTAGAATGGCAGCAGCAGGTACAGGGAACAGATCTACAGCAGGGCACCTGTGGGTATAGCAGATGCAGGGAAGCAAGGTAGAGATTTGCTGAGGAAACAGTTACATTAATGTATGTGTGAATTTAAACCATGAGGCTGAATTCCAAAATTTCCCCTTCTCCTTTCTTCCAAGCTATTTAGGATTGCCACCCACTGACATCAAGTAGAACTTCCATCATGAGTTTACCTACTGGCTCAAGCAGACCTTTCTAAAAGCCTAAGTCACACTTGGCCTCTAACCTTTCCCTGGACCTAAATATATGGTACTGGGAAGTTGGGAGGAGAGGTTTAATGATGAGTAGTCTTAGAGGCATAGAAGCAGAAGGGGAAGGAAGGCTTATCTTTATTGGCTCTGATGGGTTTTCCACCCCAGCTTCAGCCACCATTCCCTTCCACTTTTCAGATAGCTATCCTTTAAGGAGCTTTCAAACCTCTGCCCAAGTGCCCTCTCACCTGATAGAAGGGAGGTTTCACTATGACACTGCAGACTTCACTGTGTTGCTGTGTCAGGTGAAGGGAGGTGCTGGGGCCTGCGATGGCCTTTGCACCCACCATCTTTGTCCCAGCGATTAGGCCCAGGTCTACGAGGTGGAAGGTTGATGAAAAAATAGAAGATCTTTTGTCCTCAGCCCACTGGACTGCCGCTGTGCTGGGGCTCATCCAATCTAGGGCAGAGTTGGGAGGAACTTCAGGAAAAGAACACAGACTTCCAGGGTGTAGTAAGTGCAGATGTCCCCGTGAAACGACTTTCTCCTAAGGGCCCTTAGGCCACGCAGATGTTCTCCACAGATTAGAGAGTAGTTGCTTGTGGCCTCCTGTGGATTAGCATTCTTAATTGGTTTAGGATTAGACAGCACCTATGCTGGTTGAATGGAATTCCATGGGTGTGTGTGGGGGGAGGGAAGAGTGATGGGAGGAATCCACTATAGAAGAGGGGAGGATGTGTGCTGGGAAGTTCTCCAGTGGTGACTGGTTAGGTCTGGGAATGGGCCTTGCTGAAAAAAACCACTGTACAGCCCGAAAAGAAGTCGGACAGGTGAACCTCCTTCGCTGAAGCTTCTAGAACCAGAGCCCTAGGCAGGTGTGGCCCAAGTACAGCCCGTCTCCTCCTCTTCCTCAGAGGTTGTGGCGCGTTACCGGAAGTTGTAGGGCGGGGCGGGTGGTGCATTACGGAAGTCGCAGGGTGGGGCGGAGCCTGTGCTGCGGCGCGGTTGGGTGATATGGCGACCGAGGGAGACGTGGAGTTGGAGTTGGAGACCGAGACCAGTGGTCCGGAGAGGCCTCCTGAAAAGCCACGAAAGCATGACAGTGGTGCGGCAGACCTGGAGAGAGTCACCGACTATGCGGAGGAGAAGGAGATCCAAAGTTCCAACCTGGAGACGGTGAGGTTGGCCGGGAGCCTGTGTAATTGGGCTGAGAGCAGAGGGGGCTCCAAGGCTGTAACTGGAAACCCCGCTTCAGGATGGGGTCTCGCTTCAGGATGGGGTCTCGATCCCGATGGTGGGAGGAGGCAAGAGGGAAGCCAAACCATCACTGGGACCTGCGGTTTGCAGAAAGGAGTTTGCTGGAGATTGGGTTTAAAGTGGGCCTCAGGAGCACAGAATTGAATTAAATTGGACTTGGTTCCTGATAAACTCATTGAATACACACCTGCCTCGCTTGTTAATGGCTTTTTATATTAGGACTTGTGGGTAGCAGAGCAGTAACTAGATGTCTTTCCTATAGGCCATGTCCGTGATTGGAGACAGACGTTCTCGGGAGCAGAAAGCTAAACAAGAGCGGTAAGTCCTCTGCATACAGTCAGGCCTACCAGTCCCTTTTTACCCCAGCAAAAATGAAAGCCGTGATTAAGCCTTTGTATTGAATACCTTGTATCGTTCAACTCTGTTACCAGTTCTTGTAGGTCTAAAGTTTACAACCTTATTGGTAGAAGGAAAGGCCTCTTGGCAACACCTACTGTCTGCTTAAAGACTTCAGGGGAGAGGGTAGGAGTCATTTTGTATTTTCACTCAACAGTGTTTATCAAGAGTCATTTATTTGTGACTCCCAGCTGGGAATGATCCTTCATGGGAGTTTATGGTGGAGGCAGAGAATGAGGACTAATATACCTGAATATTTTTAGGGAGAAGGAACTGGCAAAAGTCACCATCAAGAAGGAAGATCTGGAGCTCATAGTGAGTAGTGATGCCTAACTAGTACATGGGTAGGGGAGGTTACTTTGCCTAATTTAGGTGGTTTCCTGAAACAAATAGAGTCAGCATGTTTTGGTGGCACATGAATGCCAGAGAGGCGGCTTAGGTAACATCACTGATCCTTTTCCTGCAGATGACAGAGATGGAGATCTCACGAGCAGCAGCAGAACGGAGCTTGAGGGAACACATGGGCAACGTGGTAGAGGCTCTTATTGCTCTAACCAACTGATTTGTGCTTTCTCGGACCTACCCACTGGATTAATTTATTGCAATAAAGATGTCTTTTTTTGCAGTTTTATCATCTTGGATTAAGTGCAATGTATATTGTATTGTATTGTGGGAAATTTACATGTTGGAGTATAACTGAATTTAAGTGACCCCCACCCTACCATACCTCACAGCCGTTAATGAACCTATGTGAAGGATCAGTTTAGAAGAGCATTTTATATTCAGATGCAAGTGCTAAGTGGCATTCATTAGACTAGATCTCACTCAGCAATATTCAAGGTACATTTGGAGCAAAGTTACTGTACCTCGTGGCATATGCTGCCTAGGAACCACCGTATTTAGATGTAAGTCAGGAACCCAGTTCATAAGCTACTTTGAGTTAGAATTTAGGTACTGGAAGTGGGTACATGGTAAGACAATAGAAGATATCAAAGTTCAGGTCATACATGGAATTAATCAGATTTTTATTTACTGAAATTGATTTTAATCTTTGAATTCTGAACCGTGACACTGATACCCTACATTCTGTTTTCTATCCTGAAGAGAGAATAAACTTTAAAAGTTGATCAACTTTGACCCTGACCAGCGTGGCTCAATAGTTGGTTGAGTATTGTCCTGCAAAGTGAAAGGATACTGGTTTGATTCCTGGTCAGGGGACATGCCTGGGTTGCGGGCCTGGTCCCTGGTTGGGACATGTGCTAGAGGCAATTGATTTGATGTTTCTCTTCCTTTCTCCCTCCCTTCCCCTCTCTCTAGAAATAAAATATATATAAAAAAAATTGATCAACTTTGGCCAAGTTATCCTTGCTGAGCTTTTGTCTCGTGAACTGTAAAATGATACATACCAGAAAGGTTGTTCTAAGAGCTGATGAGCTGGTGAATGCGAAAAGCTTGGCCTAGTACCTGCTTCAGAGTAAAAACTCAAATAGCAGCTATAAATCTGTTCCTAAGAGTTTCATGCACTTATTTTCATTTTGGTTCTAGGATGATTCTTAGATTATATTCTTCTGGCACACACAACAGTGGTTTAAATTCATCTTTATGTGTTTGTTATCTTACAATAATTACTTGCACTTGTATTTTTATTGTAGGAGTTTATGATTTATGAGTGATTTTCCCAGTGGGGCATTTAAAGGATATGAACAAACCTCAGCCTTTCTTATTTTCTCATGCAATTGAGAGGTAGCCTTCCTGCTGGTTAAATGTCTTTTCTTATAACCCCTAGGACTCCTCATGCTCTGCCATGTACATGGTAGTTATGTAGTAAATATTAAGTGGTAAAATCATGAATTTAGCATGATGTCACTGCACTGCAACTCAACACTGTGCCCTCCTTGATATATGAGCTGGGCATATACAAGACAATTAAGAAGGCAAAGACAGCTACTTAATGCATTTGCTCATGGAATAAATCTGGGTGCCAGTAAGAATACAGCCTGTCTATAGAGTCTGTGTTTGTTTCTGAGATCAAAGGAGATGATTAACGTGTGAAACACCATTTGTCTAACAGTTCTCTGCTGACTTTATTTTAGTTAACAGGTAGATACTTGTCAGCCTGCACATTTTATTTCTAGTATCAAGCTCAAAAAGTCTCTTGGCATGTGATTCTTTTATTTCTTGACATATACATAAATGGATTAAAAAGTATGTTCACCTAGAAAAACGGACTCCAGCCAAAAAAGCAAAACAGGTTTTTCAATGTGCTTAGATTTCTTGTAAGGTAGAAATAATGCACTGTCCACTTATATACCCATGTTTCTGACCCAAGCTAAGCAGCTGGAAAAAGAAACTTGGAACAGTCCCAAGTGAATTTTGGAAGCCAGAACAATGATGAAACCTAAGATTTCTTAGAAATAGTTATAAGTGGGGATAATCCTACCTGGATAGTACTTTTCTATGGGTTTCTCAGCATAAGTCCAAACCTCACAAAAGCACCTTCAAAGACTGGGCTGCCCAGTGTCACAAGTATGGCAGTAGTTCCAACAGGGTGCATACGTGGGCCATCATGTAAATAACGGTAAAAGCAAATTAAGGACCAGACGCCGAGATGTCCCCTTGTGTCTCATGGATGGAAGAATAAGTATTTGAACTTTAAGTAGTTTTCCGTTTCTTGGCAGATGGCCGTTCAAATACATCTCGTACCCCAGCTGCCTTTTGTTTAAAGAACTTTGTGTTCTGAGCACTCTCTTGGCCCCATGCTGAGTCAAAGGAGGTGGTATCCTGATCTACAAGGTGGGTGTATTTGGTACGACCGGAACGCCCAAAGTTCTTGACCTGAGGGAAGAACAGATGAGTTACAGTACCAAACATATCATATCCCAGCCCTCAATATATTACTTTCTCATGTTATTAAGGTACCCCGTACCTGCATGACTTTGGGAAGAATGGTTTTGTTGAAATGATCCTCCAGGGTAGGTGCACTGAAATCTCTCTTATATACTTCTTCATCCTCATCCTGTAGAAAAGAGTCTTATTAACCTTTTGGTTTTATTTGCCATATATTCAAACCACAAATTTATGAAACTATGACAAGGAATGCAAAGAAAGTACTGAACCTTATCTTCAGAGCATACATCTAGTTGAGGTTAAACACTCCTTTCTTTTATGTTCTTTTTTCTTCCTAAGTGTAGACATTTCCTGAAGGTTGGCTATATTCTGTCTGCACTCACTATGTTCATTCACTCATATGACTTTAACTGTTACAGGACTTGGACATCTCTGATTCTGAATTTTCTACTTCCCACTAGCTTGAATATTCTGTTGGGATTTCAAACTCACATCCAAAGTGAAAATCATTTTCCCAACCATGCTAAAAATCAGCTACTTCCTGATTCAACTTTCTGTTAACAGGACCAACGTTCTCTCAATAACCTAGATTCAAAATTTGAGTAATCTTTGTGCAGATTTATCAGTTGCTACTTAAAATTCTCATCACTTGGGTTATCATAGTTTTGCTTTGCAATCAATCTTACACACTGCCAGTGGATTAATGTTTCTAAAACAACTCTTAAATCTCTACCTTGCTCAAAAACTTTCAAGCTTCTCTATTTTATTTTTTTAAATTTTTTTCTTTAGAGATTTGACAGAGAGAGAAAGGAACACAGAAAGAAAAACATCAATTTGTTGTTTCATTATTTATGCATTCATTGGTTGAGTCTTGTATGTGCCCCCACCAGGGATTGGACCTGTACCTTTGGCATATGAGCACGATGCTCTAACCAAGTGAGCTACTGTATTTTGCCACGTATGGTGCACACCTTTATACCCAAGTTTTTGAGGGAAAAATAAGGATGTGTATTATACATGGGTATAATAACCCCATGCATAGTGCACACAAAAATATGGGTACGTGTTATACACAGGAGTGCATTACACACAGCAAAATATGGTAACTGGCCAGGGCCTCTATTTTATTACACAATTCCTCTGTGTACTAGCAAGGCCAAACACTGTATGGCCTTAATCTACCTCTCCTTTCCTTTCTACTTTCTGTTACAGATGATACTTTCTGCCTCTACTCCTGGTCCCTTCATCTGGAATGTCCTCCCACCACCAAGTGTCAGAAAGTCTATACATTAAATGCCACCTCCTTTATATTACACTTTTCAGTCTTCTACCAAATATAACATCTCCGTCTTCACAAGTCCCACAGTACTTTTTCACTTTCCTTACATACAGTATTTTTTTGCCTTAGCTTCATTTTTATATTGTAAGCATTCTGAGTGTTAAATAGTGTCCTTTACACAGTAAAAGCTCAAAAGGTTATTTACTTAATGAACTATATAAGTACAGAGAATAGTTTCAGATCAACCAGATTATAGACATATGTGGTGAAGGCATTGAAAGAGCACCATCTTGGTTAAGGAAAGCTTCATGAGAGCTGAGTCCTTTAACCAACCATACTTTTGGAGTATTCTTTTCCCTTCACTATAGAAAGGCCCAGTTTAAAGGTAGGACAATTAAACCATTTTTGTGAGATCTACTTTTCTCCTGTTGGAGCCTAAGAGTCCCTCATTTAATCTCAGAAGCCATTTCAACTTCACTCTCCCTGTGTAGATGGAAGACTTGGTATTTGAGGATATGCACCAAGACTTTCAAAGAAACCTTATGTATCTTAGCCAGCCAGCAATACACTTCTCTAAGAAGCTTAATTATCAAAGCCGCTGAAATGCTTAAGCAATACTTCATGACTTTGAAGCACTATAACAAGTAATTCGTAATTTCTACCAACTCCAATGTAGAAAAACTATATAAAAAGCAAACATTTCTTGCTGAGTGGACAGACACCGATTTTGGAGAGAAATAAGGAACCCTACACTGAAGATTTAATTTTTTTTTTTTTACTGGTATCTGCAGTAAAAGATAGGAATTTAGCTGCAGTTGGGTCTGGTACACAACATTTAAAAAAGCTAGTCTAAGTTTTTGATACAGTCTCCTTTAACATTAAGAAATAATTTAAGCTACACCGTATTAAAATAAATGCAATCAATGTTCCCATTCCTTACATTGGGAGTAAAAGGGAGAAAATTGTACTTGAACAATGATTAAAATAAAAAAAATAAAAAAAAAAATGTTTCCATTCCCTTTCTGACTATCTCTGTATTAAGAAATTGTTCTTACTAATACAAATAATTTGGAATAAGTCATTGTTACTTTATGCAGAATTAACACATATTTTGGTCTTTACATAAAAAATAAGATGACATTATATGCAATGATTAGATAATTAAACTTTTTCTGTGTGTTAGGTTAAGTCACTTTGTCAGCTCAGAATGAAGTGAATTGAACTTTTGCCATGCAAATACAAGTTCATGTGAAACTATTTGCAGAGCCTGGTTTGTGCATAACCAGAATTTCTCACTTGGCTATGAATAATAATACCTAAGTGTTTTTGAGTACCTAAAATAGTCTAGCATCTACACTGATTACTAGGTCTCTATTTTCAGTTCCTCAATTCTTCTATTACATCATTTCCTCCTTCTGGGAGCTGGGGCCAAAAGAGAGAACAGTTGCTGCAACTTCTAATGTCCTGTTGCTAGTAGGTTTCTCTGTTGGATTCATATTCTTCAC